TATCAACTAAGTGTGGCCTGCTTGCAAGGTACAAAGCAAATGTTCACACAACAATGTAAATAATGCATAGTTTTTTTTTTCAATCTAATCTAAACATAAATGTAAGGGACACTGCACTTCAGAACCTGGGTCTGCATACATGCCTATCTGGCTCTGGCATCATAGACAATCTTGGCTACTGGTGATTTGCACCATGTAGTCAAGCATGCTTTCTGCAGAGTTCAAACAGGGCAGTTGTCTCCAGCTGTTCAACAGAACAAATTAAAGGGGATTATCCAATGCGAATGAAGTTCAGGCTTTGGCCACGTGGGGGAGGCAGTGGACCTGACAAAGCATCTGTTAATAGGGGCTCAGGTTTCTGGGGCCCTCAGAGCATCTCCAGTTTGTCTCGAAGAGAATCTTAAGGAAGAGGTCCAGAGATGGCTCAAAAGTTAAGAACACTGGCTGTTCTTGCAGAAGACCTGATTTGGAGTCCCAGCCCCCACATGACAGCTAACAATTGTCAGTAACTCCAGTTCCAGCGTGTCTAAAGCCCTCTTCTGTCCTCCATAGGTGCTGCATGACACAGTATGCACTTATATGCCCGCAAGCAATACATGTGTACACATAAAATAAAAATAATAAATGAATTAAAAAAAAAGAAAGAAAAAGAGGGAAAAGGGAGGGAGAAAAGGTTAGCTCAGTGATAGAGTGGTGGTTCAGCATGTGCAGGGCCTCAGTACAAAAACAAAACAAACAAGAACTATAAGCACAGCCCAGCATTGAGACAGAGCTTTGTAAACCCAGTATTCAGGAGGCTGAGGCAGGAGGATCCTGATTTCCAAACCAGCCTAACATATGAGCAAGGCCTTGTCTCCATAACATAAATTAAATAAATAAATAAGTTGCACCTTTGGACACACAGATTTCTTTAAGCCTTTAGGAACAATTACAACTACCCTGTTACTTATATGCTTAGCTATGCAGGTTCTTGCTTTCCAAAAGGCCATTGTGGGGCTGAAAAGATAGATTAGTGGTTAAGAGCACCGGCTGTCCTTGTAGAGGACCCAGGTTCAGTTCCAAGCACAAACATGGCAGCTAACAACTGTCTGTGACTCCAGTTCCAGGGGATCTAACGCCCTCTTCTGGGCTCCATGGGTCTTACACACATGCAGTACACTTAATGCAGGCAGGAAGAACACCTGTACACATACAACACAAATCAGTTTTTACAAACACAGAGAAGGGAAGGAAGGAAATACCACTTAGAGCAGGATCAAGCTATGCAGAGCTGGTAGACAGACCCCAGTCAAAGTGATGGTTACCCTTGAATGATGGGAATTCACTGAGGGATGCCTCTAGGCAGGTGTGTCAGAGGGTTTCCGGGGGTAGATGAGCTGAAGGGAGAAGTCCTTCCCTCCCTTCTCTGGGTGGTGCCTTCTCCCGGGTGCCTAGGTGTAAAGAGGCCTGCCTGCCTTCCCTTTTTTTTTCAATCTTATTTATTTGTATTTTTTATGTGTATGAGTGTTTTGCCTGCGTGTACAGAAGTGCACCCATGTGAGCAATGCCCCTGGAGGTCAGAAGGGGGCATCAGATCCTTCTAGAACTGGAGTTACAGACAATTGTTAGCTGTCATGTGGGTGCTGGGAACTGAACCCCGGTCCTCTGCAAGAACAGCCAACACTTTTAACCACTGAGCCAGCTCTCCAGCCCTTTCTTCTCTTCTTGCTGGTGAGTGGGTCTGTAGATGCTGGCCCTGCTGTCCTTCACCAACATTGGAACCCAGCCTCTTCAGCCTTCCAATGTGGATTAAAGGCTGTGGGCTCTCCAGGAATCCTCCAGGTCTACAGAGCCAGATTGGGACTACTTCCAGACATGCTGGCAGACACCTTTAGTCCCAGCACTTGGGAGGCAGAGGCAGGTGGATCTCTGTGAGTTCTAGGCCAGCATGGTCTACATAGTGAGTTCCAGACCAGCTGGGGCTACAGGGAGACCCTGTCTCAAAAAAACAAAATAAAACAAAACAGATTGGGACTACTGAGGCATGTAGCCTTGTGGACTGAGCAGAGATGGGTTCTCAGTTTCTCCAGTATGCAGATGGCCATTGTTGAAATACCCAGCTGCTATCATGTAAGCCAATCTAGTGACATCTCTTTTTATAATATATATATATATTCTTTGGTTCTGTGCCTCTCTAGAGGAACAGAGATGAAGTAAGGGGAGTCAGGGAGGATGCAGTCAGGCCGGATGGAGGACAGAGAGAATGGAGGGTCCCAAAGGCCTCCATTCATCGTGTCACGTCCCAAAGAGGGTGAGCGACTGCCTGTGTGGGCTCCTGATCCTAGATGCTAAGACACAACAGAACACAAGACAAAGTGTGGGGTTCTGTGGTACACGCCTGTCATCTCAGCACTTGGGAGGTGGAGGCAGGAGGATCAGGAGATCAAGGTCACCCTCAGTTCCATAATGAGTTCCAGGCCAGCCTGGGCCACAAGAGCTCACATGGGCAGGGAGACAGAAGAGAACAAGGTAAATGCATGTGGCACTGGCCAGGCTGTGGTAAAGTGCTGCCGAGAAAACTGCAGCATGGGCTGGAGAGCTGGCTCAGTGCTTAAGAGCACTGGTTACTCTTGTAAAGGACCCAGGTTTGGTTCCCAGCAGCCACATAGCCACTAACAGCCTTCGGTAACTCTAGTTCCAGAGAATCTGACACCTTCTTCTGGCCTCCATGGGCATTGCATATACACATGGTGCATTTACATACATATAAAACACTCAAACACATAAAATAAAAATATGCAAATTAAAAAAATTTGTTTTTATTAAATTTTGTTGTATTTCATACAGAATATCTCAAACAATCTGAATCATTTTTGTAGCCCCATCCCCTCCAGACCCCTCCCATAGGCTCCTCCCCCACTGGAACCTATAGTCTCTGTCCTGGGTGTTAAGGCCACTGTGTCGTCAGTGTCCCTGGATGTTCTCCAGTGCAGCCCATCCACTTGTGGTTTAGTCAGATCTGTCTCATCTCTCTATCCAAACACCTATCATTTTCTTTCTTATTTATTTATTTATTTATTTATTTTTGTCTTGTTGAGACAGCATCTCCCTGTAGCCCCAGCTGTCCTGGAACTCACTATGTAGACCCCTCGAACTCGGCCTTGAACTCACAGAGATCCGCCTGCCTCTGCCTCCCGAGTGCTGGGATTAAAGGCATGCACCACCATGCCTGGCTCTATTTTTATTTTTTATTTTATTTTGGACTTTTTTGAAACAGGGTCTCCCAATAGCCCCAGCTGGCCTGGAACTCACTATGTAGACCAGGCTGGCCTCGAACTCACAGAGCTCCTCAGGCCTCTGCCTCCCGAGTGCTGGGATTAGAGACGTGCATCACCATGCCCGCCCCTCTTTCTTATTTTTTAACACAGTGTAGGGTGGGGGGTTTATTCACAGAGGACTGGGCTCCCCCATTTCTGGTTGCATGGGAAACCGTATCTATAAACTCAAATATAGATCCTGTGGCTTCCTGAAAGCCTCAGAAAGTGGTGAGAGAGGGGCCTCCTGGTGTTCTCAGCTTATACATCCTCAGCCCCTCCCCACATACAGCTAAGGGCAACTGATGGGGTGGGAGGGGTATCTGCTCCCCCGTCACTCCTTCATGAGTGTGGGAAAGACATGTGACTGTAGCTTGCTGGCATAGTGGTCAGAGGACACTTCCAGGTAACACTCCACCCCTTCACCTGGCTCTTACATTCTTTCTGTCAACTTCTGCAAAAATTCCCTGAGCCTTGAAGGGGTTGGTAGGTGTGGGATGATCTTCCTCCTATTGTGGCAAGGCGCTGAACTTTCAGGTCTCTGCATCATCAGTTCTCCATGGGCTGTTGGCCCATTTCAGTGGGATTCCATCTACTATAAAAACACAAACAAGAAGCAAGAACATCTAAACAGCAGCTGCTCTAATAACCTATGGGTGTAAACACAAACGCTTGGATATTACTTTAGCAGGTGCATCACATCCATCTAACAAAACAATTGCAGGGTCTTTTGTAGTTTTAAAAACAACAGGTAGATGGCAAGTCTAATTCACATTTTCATTAACCACCTGTCAGTTAGTTGCTTCCATCTCCTAGCTATTGTGAAAAGAGAAGCAACAAACATAGTTGTACAAGTGTCTCTGCAATAGGATGAATTCTTTGGGTATATGCCAAGTAGTGGTATAACTGTGGTAGGTTCATTTTTAGTTTTTAAAGAGTTCTCCACACTGTTTTCCATAGGGGTTGCACAAGTTTGCAATCCCAACAGTAATTATGAGCATTCCCCTTTCTCCACATCCTCGCCAGCATTTGGTATCATTTGTTCTCTTGATCCTAGCCAGTCTGACTGGGGTACAGTGAAACTTTAAAGTGGTTTTAATTTGCATTTCCTTAATTACTAATGATGTTGGACACTTTTTAAGATGTTTCTTAGCCACACTTATTTCTTCTTTAGAGAACTCTCTGTTTAGATCTATAGCCTGTCTTTTAATTGAGTCATTTGCTTTCTTGTTTCTTTCTTTCTTGAGTTCTTTATATATTCTGGATGTTAAACCTCTGTCAGATGTTGCACTGGTGAAGATTTTTTCCCACCCTGTGGGTTTTCTCTTCAACTTTTTTTGATGTTTCTTTTGCTGGACAGAAGCTTTTTGGTTTAATGAGGTCCCACTTGTTGATTGTTGACCTTAAATCCTGAGCAACTTTTGTCTGATTTAGAAAATCCTTTCCTACATCTATATCTCATAGGTTACTGCCAACATTTTCTTCTAATAGTTTCAGGGTTTCTTGTATCACATTGAGGTCTTTGACTAATTAGTGTTGACTTTTGTGCAAGGTGAAAGATAAGGATCTAGTTTCATTCTTCTACAGGTGGAGATCCAGTTTTGCCAGCACCATTTATTGAAGATGCTGCCTTTCCTCCATTGTGTGTTCTTGGCACCTTTGTCAAATAAGATGGCTGAAATTGCATGTGCTCAGGTTTGGATCTTCAATGACATACAAAATACTCATACACATAAAATAAAAATATGTAAAAATTTTAAAAAACTACAGGTATATGGTAAGTCTGAGGACTTGGGTGTGGCTCCGTGGTAGATCACTTGTCTAGCATGCATGAGACCATGGCCACAATAGCACTGCAAAGAAAGAGAAAAAGTTAAGGGTGTGTGAATACAACAGTCTAGGAGCCACTTGGTATCTGAGGGAGGATGAAGAGGCTTCGGAGCAGGTAGAAGAGCAAGGGTCAAGGCCCTGAGGTCAGAGGGTGTCTAGGAAGGCTGAAGACTCAGAAGGCAGGACATGGAAGGGAGAAGGACTGTGAGAAAGGAGAGGGCAGGGGAAGTGGGAGCAGAGCCAAGACCAGGGGAACACAGCCAAGCAGGAACTTGGACATGGGACTGACCTCTGGGGTTAAGGTTGCTCCTGGGAAAATGAGACGGAACCAGTAAGGTTTCACAAGCCTGTGATCCCAGCACTCAGGAGGTGGAGGTAGGACAATCAGGAGCTGAAGGTTATTCTTAGCTCCATGCTAGTTTGAGACCAGCCTGAGGAAGGAGGGAGGGAGGGAGGGAGGAAGGGGGAAGGAGAGAATCTCATTTTTCTCTGAAGGCAAATTAAAGCATTGAAAAATAATAGACATTGAGCCAGGCATGGTGGTGCATACCTGTTGTTCCAGCTACTTGGGAGACTGAGGCAGGAGGACTGTGTGAGCCAGGCATTCCAGGGAAGCCTGGGCAAGCAACCTAACCAATTCTCATCTAATAATAATAATAAATAAAATAAAACAGGTATGGTACCACATACCTATAATCCCAGTGCTCAGGAGGTAGAAAGACCAGCAGCTTCACATTATCTTCAGTAACAGAGCAAGTTTGAGGCCAGTGTGAGTTACTTGAGACCCTGTGTTGAAAAAAAATTACATCAGTCAAGCATAGTGGCCCACACTTTTAATCCCAGCACTCAAGTGGCAGAAGCAGGCAGATCTCTGTGAGATCAAAGCCAGTCTAGTCTACATAGAAAGTGCCAGGCCAGCTGAGGCTATAGGGAGACCCTGTCTTAAAAAAATAAAATAAAATAAAAAATAGTGTGTTGCTTCTTTATGTTACTTATTCATAAAACCTCAGGATGCCTGTAGACTTCACCAGTTTACCAAAAGTGTGCCCGTGTCTCTTTGGTCTCCCTAAGCTCTGAACACTGGTTTTTGTTTTTTTGTTTTTCTCTCTCTTTTTTTTCCGGAGCTGTTGACCGAACCCAGGGCCTTGCGCTTGCTAGGCAAGCGCTCTACCACTGAGCTAAATCCCCAACCCCTTTCTCTCTCTTTTTTAATTAAAATAATTTACCCTTCATATCTTAATTCTCTGCCTGTGCTCAGAATAACTAAGGAAGAATCATTCTCTCCTGTGTGCACTGTTAACCCCACAAGACTTAAGCAAGTTTAGAAGAATGAAAAAGATAAGAAATGCAATAGATGGAACCAAATTAGATTGGAACAAGACTTTAAGACAGGGTCTCCCTGTAGCCCCAGCTGGACTGGAACTCACTATGTAGAGCAGGCTGGTCTTGAACTCACAGAAATTTGCCTGCCTCTTCCTCCCAAGTGCTGAAGTGCTAGGATTAAAGGTATGCCCCAGTGCCCCTCCCCCACCCCCAGGTTGTTTTTTTGTTTTTTATCCCACATATCCCTTATTGGAGGTCAGAGAGGACAGCCTTCAGGAGTTGGTTCTCTCCTACCATGTGGATCTTTGGGATGTAACTCAGGTTGGCAGGTTGGCAGCCATCTGTCAGACTCGATACCAGACTTTATTCTTTGAGTTCTAGGGACAATTTGACTCTTCTCCCCTAGAATTCCATTGTTTACTTGTTTAATTATTTGTTTATTGGACTTTTTGAGACAGGGTCTCACTGCATCTCACAGAGATCTGCCTGCCTGTCTCTCAAGTGCCACCATGCCTGGCCTGTTTATTTACTTACTTACTTACTTATTCATGAATGAGACAGAGTCTTGTGCAGCCCAGGCTAGCCTTGAACTTGTTATGTAACCAAGAATGGCCTCGAACCTCTGGTCCTCCTACCTCTACCTCCTAAGTGCTGCTGGGATTACAGGTGTGTACCACCACACCTGGTTTATACAGTGCTGAGGATGGACCCAGGGCTCTGTGCATGCTAGGCTAGAGCGCTACCAATCAAGCCACAACCCTTCTCCCCCCAAATACCTAAGAAAGATGTGCAGTGTATGGGAAAAGGTTGGTCTTGCCCCACCCCTCTTTCTCCCTCTCACCTGAGCGGTTAAGTCTCCGTCCAGACTTACAGGTTTAATTACAGGTGGCTGTTACCTGGCTGCACCTGTAAGAATAAAATCCACTCCCCATCCCCCGCTGGGGCAGCCTCATCCTCTTCATACTCATTTTAATAATTTTTTTATGTGCATGAGTGTTTTGTCTGCATGTATGTAATTGCACCACATGCATGCAATGCCCGCGGAGGCCAGAAGAGGACGTCAGAACCCCTGGATCTAGAGTTAGAGACCGTTGTTAGCGGCCTTATGGGAGCTGGGAACCAAACCGAGGTCCTCTGCAAGAGCATCCAGTGCTCTGAATCACTGAGCCATCCTGCCAACTCCCCATACCCGTTTTAAAGACTGAAGGCAGGTTAAAGGTGTCAGATGTCACTAGAACCTGACACAGCCCAGGGCTAGTCTCCCTCTGCGAGGCCACCAGGGGCTGAGGGCGCCCCAAGACTACCAGTTGACGTTGTCGGGGGATGAAATCAGGTCCCGGAGCCCCTTCCCACCGCAAGTGTAGGTCTCCACCTCCTGGACGCCTTCAGTTCATTTTGCAACGCAGATCCTGCATCCAGAAGGCTAGGCGGCGAGTGGTGGCTGCAGCAGGGTTGGGACTGCAACAGGGTTGGGGCGGGGAAACCGAGGCACCCGCCCTTGGCAACCTTGGGCTCACCTGGGCTGTCCCGGGGCAGCAGGCCAGTAGAGACAGCTACTGCCTCCTTAAACTGGCGCAGGGTGAGAGCGTACTTCCTGCTGCTCTGCGGTTCTGCTTTGGCCGGAGACCCTGGACCCCCTGGCCCAAGGTGAGACCCGCAGAGTAGGCCCTTAGCTCTGCCTCCCAGGGTGGGAGGGGTCTCTGTCTGTTCTTGTCACCCACTTCCTTCCTGTTTGCCCCAGCCGAGAGGTCGAAGTGGAGAACCCACAGCCAACCCTGCGCTGGGTGGCCCATTTCTGGCCCTCTCTGAACCTTTCTCCAAAACATTGAATGAGGGGTTTCTCCACCACTCCACCCCACCCCAGCAGGGAGCCGGGGCATTGGTGGTGAGTACCCAGAGAACAAGTCTGGACTGCACCGGGACAGAGGAAGGAGGTGGGGAGGTGCTGGGCTTAGCTGTCCTTCCCAACAGCTGCTGAGGGTGCAAGGGTCAAAAGGCTCACGTGGTGTGTTCCAAGGAGCCTCTTTCAAAGTTCCTCTAAGGAGGAAGGGGGGTTGGGAGGCCAGGGAAGGGTTCAGACAGAGCTTCCTGGAAAAGGCAGAGATGACTTCTATTGTAGGGAGGGGTGGGGGGAACCTGAGACACTCAGTCCC